GGTGCTGTTGTCCATGTGTATGTGTGCGGGTGCTGTTGTCCATGTGTCTGTGTGCATGCATCTGTTAGCTCCTGACCTCCAGCGGTGACGGCACATGTGCCTTGTGGGATGTGGAGAGCGGGCAGCTGCTGCAGAGTTTCCATGGTCACACAGCTGATGTCTTGTCCCTGGACCTCGCCCCATCTGAGACTGGAAACACGTTTGTCTCTGGGGTGAGAGAGAGAGAGATAGTGTGTGTCTTTATATCTGTCATGTGGTCGCAATTTTAAAGATTCTGGATTTTTTTTTTACAGGACAGCAGCAATATTTTCATTCTCTAATGTGTGTGTGCGTGTGTGTGTCTCATCAGGGCTCTGATAAGAAGGCCAACGTGTGGGACATGCGCTCTGGACAGAACATTCAGTCTTTTGAGAGCCACGAGTCCGACATCAACTGTGTTAAGTGAGTCCAGCTCTTTAATATAAAAGTAAAAAAAGTCCACCAGCGTGACATGATCCCTAAATTATATAATTCTTACCTAGATCATCAAAATGCAGAATGAACGTAGACACACATGCTCAACATCATAGACATCTGAGGCACTCTGCTACCCTTTGGTTTTCTTTAATGAATGAGAGACTTTAGTGACCTTATTGTAAGATTAGATACTGAAAAGAAATCTTTTAAATCTGGCTTTAAAGTTGTCTAGGTTTGCGGAAAAATATTTAGATTTGAGTTTGCCAAATGTGCCAAAACACACAACTTTCTTATGCTATTCTCGGTCATGTGTGTTCAGGTACTACCCCAGTGGAGATGCTTTTGCTTCTGCTTCAGACGACGCCACAGTGAGTCACGCCATATGACCTGCTGATCAGTTCGCTGTGATGTGTGTACTGGTCATGTCAATATGTGCATGTGCAAGTTTGGACTCACTCTGAACCACTTTCTTGTCATAATTTGATAATGGGGTGAAGTCAACCATCTCAACTAGACATTTGTCAGATTGTGGTGCTGGCAGGCTACCTCAAAAAGAGGAGCACCTGTCAACAGAAAAAATAAATACATGAGATTATCTATGATGTACAGTAATAGTGCCTACTGTAGACTAACATTACCATTGTCAACTTACCCCCTGTGTGTCTGGTCTTGTCTGTGTTGTTGCGTGTTTACTGGCGTTCCTCAGTGCCGTTTCTATGACCTGCGAGCTGACCGTGAGGTAGCCATCTACGAGAAGGACAGCATCCTGTTTGGTGCTTCAACTGTGGACTTCTCTCTGAGTGGTGAGGAGTTTGTGAAGCACTTAAGGTTGAATCAACCATTGATAGTCTATTGAATAATATGCATCACTCATTAGCATCTACTGGGAAAGTTTAAAAATCACAAAAGTAGGAAGTATTTAATACGAATAAAGCTATTTTCAATAATTTAAGGACTTTTTTTTTTCTCTATCTCACAATTTCAACCAATCCTTCGTCCTTCTCTGCTTCTCCTTATTCCCCAAAATCCCCACTTCCTCTTTCATACCTTATCACGCCCCCAGGCCGGCTGCTTTTCGCTGGTTATAATGACTACACCATCAATGTGTGGGACGTTTTGAAGGGAACTCGTGTCTCTCTCCTGTTTGGCCATGAGAACCGCGTCAGCAGAGTCAGAGTGTCACCTGACGGCACGGCGCTCTGCTCGGCCTCCTGGGACAACACCTTACGGGTGAGCTGGAGTTTCCCACCACACCATGACTTTATCATTTCGCCGTTGATCATTTCCCCTTTTTTGTTTGTAGCTTTTTTTCTTTTTTTTTCACGCTTGGAATCACAACAGCTGTGTTTGATTCATTGATTTGGAGGATTACATTGCGCTTTAATAATATTAACATATGAATTGGGATGTGATCTTTTTTGTCAAAGGGGTTAGGATTATAACTGATCAGCCTTGTGCAGTATATGTGTTTTGATCATATTAATCTTGATCAATAAGTAAGGTTGGGCTACTTATCTGTGTCTAAAATATTTTTGAGTCAAGTGTCTGGTGACAAAAAACAATGTCCATAACATTTATTTCCTCTAATTTTATTTTTTAGACTATAAGTGTGTTGTATTTTAAAGTTGTTTAGCTAGTAACTGCATAAAAGATTCCTGTTTAATAGTTGAACCCATATGATTCTTCTCACTTTCCTCTTGCAGATTTGGTCCTAGAGCTGATATCACAGTTGTGATCCAGTGACACCAGCACCAGCACCATGCGACTGCCAAGACTACAAGTCCCAGTCAACACTACTGCAGGAGTGTGTACATGCAAACCTTCAGTGTGACAAATACACAAAGCTCCTGAAATGTCTCTTCTGAATGACAATGTATCGTCGTATCATAACTGTAGTGTGAGTATTCATTGAGGATGCAGTCGAGTTTGGATTCCTGATATTTATTATATTTAGCTTGATGACTGATTGTATGAATATGTAATTGTTTATGCTAATGTAGAGGGAAATAATTGTGAGAGTATAGAGCCGCATGTGTCTGCTCTGTCATGTAGATCTACAGGCAATATCAACGATTATCTTGTAAATTATTAACATTGGTTAACTGTTGTACTTTTTCTGTGAGAATCAAACCGTCCAGAATCACATTATAGGTTACACACACACTGTTATATATAAAGGAAGACAACTTCAATGTAGCCATCAATTTGTTTTATTCCGATATACATGAACGTCAACAGCTTAGATAAATCACTTGTGAAAAAAATAAAAGAGATTTTAAGTATTTTTTGTTGTTTGTAGCTTTGATTTCTCTTCTGCCTTTAATTCAGTCAGTTCTGATAACCTCACTGGAAGCCTCAGAGTCGCAACAGATTCGGGTGGCCCGACATGTTTATGCGTTAACAAAATACAAATGGACGACTGGTATATCCGCTGCTTTTAACTGATTGTGGCACACAGGCGGTATTCAACTGCACCAAGGTAGATCTAGATTCAATCCCAATGGCTGACATTTGCATTTCTATTTCCTGGAAGAGAGAAATGTAACTGAACAAGGCCTGAAGCATTCGTTAAGCGCTTGCACTAAGTGCAATTTGCCCCAGAGGGCTTAGTGGGATGACAGGAATGTTTTTTTTTGGCCTGCCGATATTGTCAATATGGTCTTTTGTTATTTTCACAGATCATTCTGTATGTGTGTGTTGAAGACAATATTCTCAGAAAGATATGGCAAGAAAAACTGTTTATTCAATAAACAATAAAAGAAACATCTAGATTGGCTCAGGGGAAACTGTAGCATGCTGACAAACACTTTGCTTGCCCTGTCTACCACCAGGGGGCATCACACTTCATCACTATTGTAACAGCAATGCCTGGATGTCATTGCAATTGCAATGCCTGGATGTCAACACTACAACAGTCACTTGCATTATTTAGGAAAACATATCCTGAAAGAACAGTACATCTCTATCATGTGCTAATGATTAGAAACATCTAGGCACCAAAGTGACCTGTCAATAACAGCACAAGAGGTTGTGAGGCTGCTCCCAGCATCCTCATTCCTTCCAAACGTGTCATCTGGAAATTTGTAGGTGATAGCTTTATCTATTCATTTTTTATATATTTAAATTCCAGCCTGGTTTAAAGGTTTTATGGAATTCAACGAGGGAAATACCCAGAAGGAGAGACGGGAAGAGAAAGGGACTGATGAACGAGAGGACAGAGGGGTATTACCATGCAGAGGAAGTACCCAAAAATATCACCAGCTAAGCCACATTACCTAAACTGCTTGCTTTGTCTGCCATTAATTTGATTAGAACTCAAAGCATTTTTCACTTCCTCATGAAGATCACTGAACTGTTCTCTGTGTGTAGTTTACAAATATCACACTGAGAGTTAGAGAAGTGAGACTGTTTGGTGATGAATAAAACCAGAAACCTGAGATCACGAGCCTGCTGAGACCTATATTTAGTTTAGATAGGTCAAAAGAAGATGACATCTATGAATTTACATAAAGGTGTTGTGTGCGAGAGCATTTCATTCTGCAGTAATGAAAGTCAATTAATATTGTTACATCATCTCAGACTGGGACTGTCTCTTTGTGTTACAAAACATATTTTAGGCGTCTTTGAGTACCTTTTTAAAGCGCTATACAAATAAAATGTATTATTATTATTTCTACAAAGAAATCAGCCAATGATACACTTCCAAAACTGTAGGATGTGATAACTTTTCAGGGACTATGATAAATGTAGGCTATATCCTATATTATTTTCAGCATTATTCAATTTGCTGATTATTTTCAGGAGTAATCAATGAATTGTTTACGTCTATAAAATGTAATAAATAGAGACATAAATACTCAATTTACTTTCGTAGAAGGCAAATAGTCACATTTGAGGGGCTAGTTGTTTGCTTAAATGATGACCTCAACTCATAATCGATTGTCTAAACGTTACTTTGATTTTTTTCCTATAGGCTACTGCAATTGTTATTTACTTAGATTGTAATTTTATTTTAGACACCTTTCTGTTGAAAGCAGAGAGACTCTATCAATACAACTTCATCTTAGACCTTGATAAACAGCTGAATGCATTTAAAAGCAAGTTAATTCATTTCAACAACTGACTCGTGTTTTCTACATGATACCTGATAACCATAACGTATTTAATTGGGTGTATTTTTTTCACTATACTGTCGGTTCCATTACTGCGTTATGAAGGGACTTTCTTGGGTTTTTCTGCGGGCAGCAGATACAACGAACCGGGGGCGGAGTCACAGAATAAATGTGCAGCTGAAGGGAAGCTGTGAAAGTATCGAGGTTCTCCTTCCGCTGTCCGTGTGTGTTGAGAGCAGTCTGATATCGCTGGGAGGGTAAGCTTTTTGTTTCTTTTTACGCACGGAAAATTGAATTTCACCTACTTACACACATGTCCATTTGGAAATGTAAAACGTTGACCACGCCGAGGTGCTCGTTTAATGACATTAAACGGCGGTTTAATGCGCTGATGTGGCGGCGCTAGCTCATCGTTGAATGTGGTCCTTTGTGTCCTCCATTGCTCTGGTGACAGATCAACGGTTAGTTAGCGGAGAAAAGGCAGCCGGCGAGCCAACTGCCAGTCCACCAGTTAAAAACCGTTAACACGCGGATAATAACCGTTATGTAGCTCTCGCACTGCAGTGCTGTTTATATCGAGTAAATAGTCGATTAACTTAACTCGGCGTTGGCTGTATTTAGCCTCCAGCATCTAGCGTTCACACTAGTCGTGTCTTCTCCGTTCATAACGCTAGCGTTGCTGTTCGCTGCCTAGTTAACGTTAAACACTTTGCTAAAGCTGACGCTAACTGTGAACTGACGTCGTAACGTTGACGGTAATTGTTCTAAAAGCTTTAGCAGTTTATTATTTAATTATTCAAACAATTTAATTAAACGGCAACATTTTAAATTAGCAACTAATTGTTTATGTAGATTTTCCTAGTAAAAAAATACTAAACGCATGCCCACTGTTTACATTTCTTTTAAAAAATTGAATTTAGTTAAATTGAATATAGTTTTTTTTTTTTTTTTTTTGTTTGTTTTTTTTAACTGTTTGTTCAACAAGGAATCTTAAGATGTCATATTGGGCTTTAAAAATGAGCATTTTCACAGTTGTCAGAAGTTTTGTAGACCAACCAATAATGAAGTAATAGGCATATAAATTGATAATGTAAGTAGTTGCAGCCCTGAGCTGGTTACTCCTTGTTTCCGTCACATCAACAGACCATATTTGTGGTTTTCAGCAGCAGTACGGACCTAATACTCGCACGTCAGCAGACTCGCTTTGTTCATAAATTAAGGGAAATGTCTTCTTTTTTTTTTTTTTTCCTTCCCCGTCATCAGAAAATGTCGTGCGGGCTGTGGAAAGAGACCTTGGCTCTGGCAGAGGACTACCTGTACCTGTGCCGCACAAGCCCACGGCCAGCCCCTCCACCTCCCAGCGAGTCAGCCGCTGCCATGAGGCGCCTGGCCCAGGACATGGAGACGCAGCACCAGGCTCGCTTCCACTCCCTTGCTCAGACCTTCCTGAGGCAGTGCGGGCCGGACCCCTGCTCCAGCCTCAGGAAGGTGATGGAGGAGCTGGTGGGAGATGGACACTTGAACTGGGGGAGGGTTGTTTCCCTTTTCACCTTTACTGGGGTGCTGGCCAGGCAGCTGCTGGAGCAGAATGGCACGAAGCTGGGGCTGGACCCTGGGCAGGAGCCGGGACAGGAGCCCGGACACTACAGGGGACTGGCAGAGACCATAGCTGATTACCTGGGAGAGGAGAATAAAGATTGGCTGCTGGAGAACGACGGATGGGTAGGTTTAAAACATGTCTGCTTCTACACGGACACTGCAGAGCTGAGTCAACACAAATATCGTAGATAAGAGAAGTGTTTTCATGGTATCCAGGGCAGTAAGTTTAAAACGGATCTGTAAAGAATCCCAGGACGTCATGAAAGTGAAAGTGATGATTTTAAACTTGTGGCGTTGGAAATCACCTAGTTTGATAGGATCATGTTTGCTTCCTGCGTGGGTTTGTATTCAGATCAGTGTGTAAACGTGGCTTAGTTTAGATGCAGCCTCATGTGGCTGCTGTGATTATATGAGTAGTGGAGTAGCAATAGGCCAGATTGTGAGGAATGTAGTGTTCAAGAAAACAACCAGTGCAAATCCAGAGCCATGATCAAACGGTGTTGGGCTTTAGATCATCGGAGTGTTTTTGTATTGGTTAAACAAAAGCGGTGTTGTCGGGCCAAATTTGGACTATATAGTTGTTTAGCTACTGGAAATCCAAAGGACAAAGATCATTTTAAACCGGCTCGTTGTGGCTTATTTAACTGGAACAACTTGTAAGGGATGGACTAAGGCCCCAGAAGCCTCACCAAACCGAACACAACTAAAGTTGAATGTCTGCCTTTGTCAATGGGTTCGCCCTGGCCCCCACCCACATGCGCGCACACACACACACACACACACACACACCCCTCCTTTCTTCAGCTGGCAGCTGGTTTCAACAGACACGTAACCTGCTCAGCCAGATGGACTTTGTAGTAACAGTCAAAGCTTCTGTTTGTTGAATTTGGCATCAGCCATATTGAGAGTTAGCGTGGTATGACTAGAAAAACAAGCAGCTGCAAAGCAGAGAAACACCTGGAGCTGAGAGCAGGTGCACTCACTGGTCGAGTCTGTGTGGCTGCAGCTATAGGACATGAAGGAGAAACACACACACACACACACAGCTGGTGACTGAACACAATCTGACCTTTTTTTATTGTCTCGCTAATGGAGCAGAAGAAGCAAAGATTGGTTCATTATTGGTGTTACAAATGAAATGATTTCTGTGTAAACAGCTGGAGAATTGGCTGTTTTTTCTCTAACTTCGGGTTGAGACTTATTTTCTTACTTTGAAGAACCTCTGTGCTGTCAGGGTATTTGGAAAGTTGCAGACATCAGCAGCACCCCGAGTGCAAATTTTTTTTGTGTTTGTGGAGAAACATGGGGCTGTCAGAAACACCGAAATATTTCCCCAAAAAATCTTGTCTAATTGCCACCAGCCGTCAGCTAAGCCACTGTTAGTTAGACGACATCTTGGCAGCTAATACTTTCGCTTTTGTTTTGTAAAAACTTACAGCGTATGCAGAAAAACTGAGAGTAGCAGGTAAATATTCTATCTTACTAGTAAACAAGAAGTTTCTCAACATTTCTTATGTTCTCTCTCTCGTAGGAGGGGTTCTGCAAGTTCTACCGCAGTGCCAGAGAAGTGGGCCAGGACTTGTCCATGAAGACGGCGCTGTTTGCTGCTGCCGGTGTGGGCCTGGCTGGACTCACCTTCCTCCTGGTGCGCTAGCTAGCCTTCGACGTCCACAACAAACCCTCATCCATGTTCTCATTTCATCTGGCACAAGTAGACATTTTAGTTCCAACAGCAATGCTGCAACAACAGGCTTTATCTGTAGTGAATTCAGGGTTGTATCTCAAGTCATCAACTGAATGTTTGCACCCCCCCCCCCCCCACACACACACACACACACACGCACACACACACACACATACACACACATTAATACTGGTGTTTTGTCACTCATTCCTTAAGATTGTAAAAATGATCTCAATGCCTTCTACAATGTTGCAGTAAGTGACGTCAGCTTGCATATCAAAGTTGGGTTACAGAAGCACGGGTTTCTGGATAGAATCTTCTCACTCTTTTTATTTTTATCTGTGCAGCTAAAAGACTTTTCAATTTCCCCACTTTTTTTTTTTTTTATTTTTTGGTTTTTTTTTTTTTTTTTTTTTTTTTTTTTTTTTATTCATGCGTTTACCTTGAGTTGTGTACGTGGTATAGAGCCATTCTAGTGTACAATGTATAAATTAATATATTATATTTATATGAAATGAAACTAAGCAGTGGCCCATTTTTTCAAACTGATCCACAGCTAATTCAGTTATTTCATTGTTTTCTGTCCTGATTTACAGCGCTTCAGACAACACGATGGTGCTAAATGTTGTGAAATGTTTCTCATATCAAACAAGACAGGGACCAATCTGACTTTAAACATATTGCTAATGGAACAAACTGTTGCTATGGCATTCCCCCCCCCACACACACACACAAATCCCTTAAACATTATATTTTTACATTGTTTCGGTCTATTTATTTGTCACTGTTTTTATAATAAAATCAAAAAAAAGAAGCAATTATTGAGATTTTTTTGTGATTGTCTACTTTCTTTTTTCAGTGTGGTCCAGCAGGAGTGATGTCACCTTTTACATTGTTTTCCTTTAAATGTCTATGCAGCAGCTCAGGGGTGTGTAGAGGAATATAAATAGTAAATGATCTGCCCTCCTTTCATATACAGACATATTGTCATAAATAAGATATGTTCTGTCTGCCTCGGTGCTCCTCTGACCATCAGTGCTTAAGTTACGCAAAGTGCCGCATGAGCAATATATTGTGAAGCAAAAATGTATTCCTATCTGAGTTAGGAGAAACTCCTAAAAACAAAGACTGGGTGTGCAAGTCCTAACCTCTTCAATTAGTTTTGATAATTAAGCTGTGCTGGGAACTTATATTCGGTCTACAGGCCACCTCTACATTAGAAACTTGGTCATTAAGCTACTTTTACAATTTTGTGCAGAGGACATTTATTCAAGAAACTTACTTCAATCATTTTCAAGTAATTCTACTACACTGGATTGCCACTATATGCATGTACCTTATACTTCTATAGCTTAAAAAATAAAATTATATATATATATATTAGTATCAAACAAAAGCATAATTCAAAATGTGTTTGTTGCTTTGGTAACATAATGTAACTGCTAGAATATTTTTAAATGTACCAGGGATACTGTTTAGAACATTGGCATTGAAAGTATCAACATAATCTACTATGAATCGAACATTAATAGCTATTTCTAGTAGATAATGAGATCGTTGAAGTTGCAGCTTATAGACTAGACTGAAAGCTTTGTATCCCCCCCCCCCAAGAAATACAAGATGTTTAACTAACAGAAGATAAAGTCACTTGTCTCTTACAAATGAGGCCTGTGTGTGTGTGTGCGTCCGCCATGACACTGCATCGAGGTCATTGTGCCTGCATCTTTCTGACCTCTCAAACACAGACAAAGAGCCCATGTGTTGGTCTTTACATTCATTTGGAGCACTAAAACTTTACCCTAGTAGACGCACAGAA